AGCGGAATGGACTGCCACAGAAAATGGGGGAACCCCCCCCCTTTTGCCCAGCAGGTCCTCCACTGAGCAAGGAGCTGACGAGATGACCTCTTCCCTTCCAATCTGGTGACCACAGGAACAATTCCAGACCTGGAGCTTCCATGCCCCAAGGCTGGCAGAGGCAGGCCTACCGAAGGAATTCTTCAGAGCCCAATTCTGCTCTCTTGCTGCACACACTTTGGACGTACTGCTCCGCAAAACGCCCCGCGTTGTGTCCCTGAGTGGCTGGGATCACTTCACCGGCCAGAGAAAGGCCAAGCAGCTGCTTTTATACCACATGCTAAGCGTGGCTAACTAAGCGTGGCTAACTGTCGCTCCGTGTTTGTGCAAACCCAGCCGGTGGGGTTAGTGAACGGTTCCACGCATTATGCAAACTGCAACTCACCTCAGTCCCCAAGGGAAGTGCGTGCAGTCAAGATTTCTCCCGCCCAGCCTTAAGTGGCCCTGTATAAATCACGCCGTGCCCAGGCAGCGGTGGCAGTTCACTCACCCAATAGCCGCCCAGTCCCGTCCGGGTGCAGTCCGTCTGGATGTCCTGCAGAAAAGGCAGGTGGTAGTACTTGGCGAAGACAAACAGTATGACTCCTTGCATTCGTACTGTGCTCACCTGAAACAGCAAAAGGTAGTAAGAGGAAGCAGTGCACCGAGTTCTAATTCTGCCCCTCCATACTCCAAATAAGCCTAGGACTCAAGGGCTCCTTGCTTAAACGCCCACCAGATCCGACGCATTGTACTGAATCGGTTTGGATAAACTTCATGTGCCAGTTACCAGGCCCAGGTTGGCCGTTGCACTGGACGTGACTCGCCAAGGCCTTCTCCGGCCCTGCAGTGCTTTTCACAGAAGCCTGGATCTGGCTCCCTGAGAGCTTTTCCCACACGGAAGGCAACGTTAGAGCTGCATTCGAGGAAGACCCCGAGCAGCCAAGGAGAGCCGTCGAAGAGGAGAGGTCTGGAAGGGTGCAGCGGATACCGGAGACACACAACACCCATCTCCGAGAAGGCGGCTGAAACACATCTTGGAGCATCGGAAGGGCTGTCATGGAGAAGACAGGCTCGGCTTACGAGGATTAGATTTCAGCTCAGCGCCAGGAGAATTTTCCTAACCCAACAGTTTAACAGGCTGCCTTGGGAGGCGACAGGCTCCCTTTTGCGGGAGATGTTTAATCGGAGGCTGCTGGAGGTGCCTGCGCCGATCTTCCATTCTGTGTCTATGAATGAAGTCCATTTCAGCCGGCCTTGATTAAGCAGGATGTCGCCACCAGCATGTTGGAGAAAGACCCTATGGGGGAGAACTCTCCAGAGCCAGAGAAGTTACTTCATCTGTTGAGCATCAGGCTATTCCCCGCCTTTGCTTGGGAGGCAGTAGAATGAGGGGACAAGAAGACCGTTAAGTTTCAGTACTGTCTGTGACAGACGAGAATAAATCGGAGCGTAAGCAAAATAAGGAGTGTGCAAATCACAGGTATAGAAACATACTTATGATAACCCTGACTCTTAACTGAGCGGGGACCAATCTGCTCTGCCTTACAGGGAGTGGCTTCTGCACATGCTCAGGCGCTCTTGCTGCTGAGCAACACGAGTTGGCTGCTCTGCTGATTCGAAGACGGCCCCGCTTCAATCTGCAGAGGCGCTTTGCTCGAAGCAGATTATCCCTTGGAAGATCTGCACAGCTTTGGAGAAAGAGCAGCCCGTGTACTCAGTGATAACATTTCCCTGCCAAATTATTTATATTTCTAATTAAAGCAAAAAAAAAAAAAAAAGAAGAAGAAGTTTTTTCCCCCCTTAAATACATTTTACAAGTTGAAGCTGTAACGGAATTAGGGACTGCGGGGAAATTCAGTTGGATTTTAATGAGAGCCTTCCAATTCACACTTCAGTTGGTGTGAATTATCAGCCTGCAAAATCTGTCCTTTTCTGGACTTTGGGATGTGGTTCACAAATAAAAAAGGAAAAACACAAAAATAGATTTAAGGAAAACAGCAGACAAAACTACTTTATCATTATAGGAGAATATCTGCACAACACCACGTAAGACGTTTGGGAAAACTGCCTGGAGAAAATGCACGTTAGGACTAGAGTCGGCAAAAATATATACATTTGGAGAAAACATATTCAAAATGTTTAATGAGTGTTTGTGCAGACTTTACATTTTAAAAAGTTGACTTGTGCAGAAATGAACTAAACTGAAAAGGGAGGCTGAAACGCTGACATTTCTCTGGCCCCGTCTACAATCAAAGCAGGAAGGGGGGTGCTTTTCTGGGACATTTTTTTCCCTTTCCTTTTATTCTTTGTAAATGTGCCCTGTTATAAATTTTAATTGTATATTTATTTATTGTTTTAATATGTTGTAAGCCGCCCAGA